AATAAAATTAAAAAATTTCAATTCATTAATAATTTAATATAAAAATTACTTAAATTAACTTTTTCAACCTATTCACAGTTTAAACTCAAACTCAATCTCCTAGTCTAAAAGTATTAAATTAAAATTACTAACTGTTTCCTATAAATCGTTATACCACGACCCGAAATGTCAATTTAGCTTTCTCTCTCCGCGCTCTTTTCTGATAAAAAAATAATAATAATAATAAGAGCAGTGCTAGGGGCACTCGCCTCCTGCATTATCCGGCCAGCCCATGCTTTTTTATTGGGCCACATAAGCTAGCTTCGGCATGAAAATGTTCACCTCCCCAGAAACCCAACATAACGTGGCCCAATGAAAATGGAAGTGTTGGTTGGAGAGTGGAAATGGCGAGTATTGCTAGCATTGCTCTAATAATAATACCGCGCCTTAGTATTTGGTCAATATGGCAGCGCGGTTGCAGCTACCCACTTTATATTTCACTGCCTTCTCTCTCTTTGATCGGAGCACTCGTCTTCTTTTCCTTCTTCCGAAAGAGCATTGAATTAGGGCTGGTGCTTGTGATATCGAAGGGCGCGGAAGCGGGTCGGCATAATGGATGAGAGTCCTGAGACTGGCGGCACTGTCCACCCCAATTCATTAGGTAATGGATATTGGAGTTTTCTTTTAGATTCTTATTCTTCGGTATGAGTATACTTTTATTTCTTTTTAATTTATATTTACTATACTTGAAGTTGTAGTAGCGAAGGGGCAAATTACTGGTTATAAGAAGGAAGGTCATAAGAAGCTCAAGGTAAGAGCCAAAGATTTTGGATTTGTTGTCATAATTTGGTTATTCTGTTGAATTCTGATATTGGGAATACATTTTCAACATCTTCTCTATGCTTCCAATCTACTATATTGAACAATCATAATTCCTTTCAGGCTGGAAGTATTGATGTTTTGAATTGCTACTATGCCCTTGGGGACGAGAATAAAAATTTTCAAAGACGTTGTTATTCAATGGTCGAAAAGTAAGTGTCATTTTTATGTGAATGAGTCTGCTAAATTTTTTATTGGATAGTGTTTGTGTAAATTTGCATGCCATGGATAAAATTTGAGAAAACAGCTTTTATTTATGTGGATTAGAGAAATAGTTTAAATTTGGACTTGGGACCTCTTATATGATGCATTATTTAATACAAAAAAAGTATGATTCCTCCTTTTTATAATTGCTTTAATTTTTAAATGATGGATTATATGCTTCTAGTAAAATTTAGTGTTTCTTTTCATTGAAAATTATATTCCAGATTTTGACAGATTGTTGGTCAAATTAGAATTTTGTATCTTTTTTTAAGATATAATTAGTTCCCATCTTTCATCAGAAGCCCTAAACATCTTGATTAATCAAATTAGATTTTTAAGGAATTATCTTTGATATCAAATAATAATACATGAATTAAAGAATAAAAAACTATACTACCTTGTATTACATGAGGTTCCCTAGCTTATTGTCTGGTTAGACTGTGTTAATTTGGTGATTGCAAATTTTAGATTGATTTTTTCAGGCTTTCTCCTCCTTTTCTGACATAAATTACCACTATTGCAGGGACTTCTCCCACATTGTTCTTGTCCACTACCTGGAATTAACGGTTAGAGTTTATGATTTATCTTATCACTTCTTCTTTTTTTCCCTTTCCTGTTAGCCATCTTCTGAAATGAACTTATGAATTTTATTTTATACACTTTGCTTTTTACTTCCTAAGGAGAGCATTTGGCTGATGCAGTTTACAACCCAGATTAAACTGAAAATTTGTTGTTATATTAGGTCAATTTAAAGAGCAGTCTTGAACTGATTAATAGAACTGGCACAGCCAAATGCTTTCTTGAAACATGGATGTACTACATAATTTGCTTATTCTTTTATGTTATGAATTGGTAAACTACAAGTTCATGCATTGATTGTATTCATTTTCCCTTTATTTTTCCTTTAAGGTTGCGAAATTTTTGCAATGGAAACATAATTTTAATTGGCATATATTTTTCTTGTGGGAATTGACTTTGATATATCACATCATTCTTTTACCTTTTCATTTGATATATCATGTCATTCTTTGATAGGACTATGCCAATATATGGTTAGAGATATACTACCAGGCAGTTAATGTTGGTGCTACCTCTCTACTATCCTTAGCTTAATAGGGTCTTACTCCTGGATTCCAACAATGCATATCTTTACTCCCTTTTCCTTGGTCCTGACTTTATGTCTTTCAATTCTTCAATCATGTTCTTTTTCTGTCTCCATCATTTTTTTTTCTTTACTCTTTTCAGTGTCCTCATTCTGAATCATCCCAGTGCTTGAAGTTGAGTTGTCCTTTAAGAGAATAGTTGTTTTCATAGGGGTGATAAAGATGTTCCGATTTGTCAAGTGCCTGATTTATGCTATATTTTTCCTCCCACTCTCTCGTCTTGGTACTTCATTTTTTTTTTTTTCTGATTCAACCTTATTCTTTCACAACAAAGCCTAGAGATGACTTATCTTATATCTAAAACCTTCAATGTCTTCACTGCAACAATTCACAAAGGCAAGTTATAGTACAGATGTTCAGATATGTTTCTGGATAATGAACTGGATGTTCACATGGTAAAATTGGATCAAATAGATTTTGTAATTGTCTGGCTGGGAAAAAAAAAAAAGGGAAACATTTTGTTATCTATACTCTTGTCAATAAGGTGCCTGAACAGTTTCATTATAGAGCCCTTATTTAATATTCTTTTTCTGAATTTATATTAG